CTGGAGCACCTCCTCCCCCTCCTTCTGCAGACACTAAGGTCAGTGCAGAGTTTCTTATCTTCTCACTCCTTTCTCTGGCTGCAAAAGCTCTCTCACTTGGGTTTTTTTTTCCCGTCTTAAATATGTTATCACAGAGGTGCTGATTGGCTTGGCCTTGGCCAGCGGTGGGTCTGTCTTGGAGCCGGCTGGCATTGGCTCTGTCAGACACAGGGGAAGCTTCTAGCAGCTTCTCACAGAAGCCACCCCTGTAGCACCCCCCCACTACTAAAACCTTGCCACGCAAACCCAATACACTAAAACTTAAACGGTACTTGAAAGACTAGAGATGAAAAAACAGCTTAAAGGTTAGGAGACTATCACCAGTACTAAAGAAGAATATTCTCTGCCCTGTTCCATTATGCAGTGGAGGCTGCAGAACAAGCATAAACAGTTGAATTACTGCCCCACATCTCTTCTGTTACATAGCATCTCCTGCTGCCAGTATCGAGGACAGAATAATGGGTTACCCAAAACACTGGTCGACCTAGGAAGGAATTTTCCTGCACAAATAGGAAATATTCAAATAGCCCTTATTAATTAGACAAGATAAAGGCCCTGTATACATTCTCTTTTTTTAACCAGATCAAAATATTTTTACCCTCTTAAATGTCATCATGTTTTAAGCATGGCATAACTTAAGAATGTGCCACAAGCTGCTTGTAGGCAACAGGGAAAAAAAAGTCAAAGGGATCAATAAAATGTCCATGAACAGGTGTGTACACTTAAAGCTTTCTTCTAGGTCGTGTAATCAATATTTGTAACTTCGCTTTTGTAATATTATATAAAAAGATATCTTCGTGCATTCCATACCCGTTTAGTAGATCTTTACAATTCCTTCTTGACTGCTAAATCATTTAGAAATGCAGAAAGATTACTATCACTGAAAATACTGAAAACAAATTTCACTAAAATAAAAATGAGAAAGAAACCACTGAAATGTAAAACTCTTCTCACATACAGCTCTTACCTGCAAAATATCTCTATTGATTCCCACCGCAATGTTGAGTTGTTGACCAGGTTGTTGAGGCTGGTTATTTTCCACAGGACCTGGTTCTGATAACTCAAGGAGCTGCTGGATGACATCAGTTACAGCCTGCTGACCTTGATGAGCAGTAGCTGAAGACACTTGGTTTTCTGTCTGTTGAAGAAGCGGAGACCGAAAATGCGTGGCCTGAAATATACAGCAGTACATTTGTAAAGGAGGATGAAAAGTATATACGAACTCACTGTTCGGCTCCCTTGTCTGAAATGTCTGTTAACTGTCCACTACAAAGATGTCCACTTGTATAAGACATAAGGATTATACAGAACTGTCATTCAAGGTGTGCTCACTCCACTAAGGAATAGCTTCTGTATATCTCTTCTCTGGAGTTCTTGCCAAGCTGTGTAACTGTAAGCTTACAGCTTGACTTAAGTTTATTGTAACTACTGAACCTTCAACCACTTTACAAAGCACAGGGATCAATAACTGAATTCCACATGTAGAGGCCACATGAAAAGTAATTCTAAAACAAATAAACGGCACTGACATGGTTGTCTTTTAAAAGTTCATATTTAAATAAAGCAAGTCCTTTGGAAAAATAACCTTCTATTAGTTACGATTTATTTGTGTTGTTACATCAAAACCCTTCAGAACAATCAAACTATTAACTTTTTTTTGCCCTCAACTTTCAATCTTCTCCATTTCTTATCTTCAGAAGAATGTCTTCATACTCTAAAAATTTAAATACACACGGAGCTGTATGTCAAAATACTAAAAAAATCTTCAAGTCTAAAAATCAAGTTTCTTAATCTTTAATTTGATACTTCAACAAATATGAAGTGATAAAAAGTGACAAAACCCCTTGATATTGCTTTTTAAAATCAGAAATAAAGACAACTTCTGTTCTCCTTCATTTATAAACTTCTCTTCCCTATAACAAATAGGCTACAGAAGTATACCACTACTGAAATAACTGCTTTGAATCATTTATTTTACTGCAGAAAATAAAAATATATAATGGCTAGCCTCATAATCATGTTTCTTAGAACACACTGGATATTTACTTCTAATCACTTCTGTTGTCTAAAAATAATCACTTCAGGTGTGCGTGCACACACACACATATATAAAAACTGCTATCTTCTTTCAGATCACTTTGAACAAAGAATAAGCTTAGGCTTCATGTGTGCAGTATTTCTTCCAAGCTGAAAACTCCCCTGAGATTTTCTTTATACTGACACATTACACTGAACAATCAAAATGACACTGTCACCATATTTGAGGATGGTTACAAAGTAATATATAAAGAAAAAATAGCTTGACTCAAGTTATGTCCTGTGAATTTGATGAAGTATTCTTAATGCCTTCTCATGAGACAATATAAAACAAACCCTTAGCACATTTCTCCTGCATGCATGCAAAAATAGCACTTGCTATTTTGCTGATTTAACTATTAGTCCATCTTTTTTCACCTCACAAGTGGGACAGATGGAAAGACTCCACCTCTTCAGATTCAAATTTAGCAAAAGTGCTATAAACTTTTCAGTATGTGTTTTACAAAATAAAATGCACTATATGGCATTTTCATTGCAATAAACAGGAACTGAAGCGAAGTGTTTTGCTAACGAGTGTAACAGCTCTTTATAGAGATCACTCATTTTCTTGAAACAGAATGCAGGGAAGCTCTTTAGTAGAGTAGGAAGCCTACACTAAAAAGTCTATAAAATTCTCCCAGGCTTTAGCAAGAAAAAAAACAACCATTGTTAATGAAGGAACTGCTCAACATCATCTTTGACATGAAAATTACACTATTAAATGTATTTAGCCAGTGTGTTCATATATTATACAGCAGTTTATTTACAGTCTCAAGGAGGTTATCTTTTTTGAAAAATAATATATACATATGCATGCGTAGAAAGTTTGTTACCATTACTATTAAGAAACCCTGTTCATTATAAAAAAGAGGTCTCTTTGTAGGTCTCATTTCGGTAACTGATTTTAAAAATAGCACAGAGAATGGTTTATTACTACTTCATAATTCCACATTTGTTCAATTAGAATAGTAGACCTTGTGATCACCCCTAGTCTGTCTAATTTGCTGTGTAACACGGACTGTGTGACTCCTCTGAGTCAATTACTCCTTCAAGTAAAGTCATTGTACAGAAATTATGGCAGCTCTTTAAATCAAGTAATATATTGTGGTAACTTTTTCTGTTCCTCTCCAACAAGTTGCTCCAACAGTAAATTATCCACACTAAAATTCCATACATTATTTCAGAGCATTAATTCGTCTAGCTTCAACCCTCTAAACTTTTTTCTCTTCTCTATTAAAGAGATTATAGATTTTTCCCTTTTCTTCAAAACAGCAGATGAAGTCATCCTTAAATATTTTCTCTCATGGACAAAATAGATAAGGTACCTTGAATCTCTTCAATAATAAAATACATCATATCATACTTGAAGAATTCTGATGGCTCTGTTTCTTCCTGTATCTTTGAATACAGTTCACGAATAGTGAACACTATAAACAGACAACCAACAACAGCAAAGTTTCCCAGAATGAAATACAGAGGACATATAAGCTTTACATTTCTATGTGAAGCTGCTTCTCCAAATAAAAAGACCAAAACTAATCTTTCCAGGGAAGGAAAACCTAACTTTTAGCTGATACAGCAATTATTACCTCTTCCATCCCTATTTATAAGGGGAATTTAAAATCCTTGAAAACTCCTGTGAATATGGCCTACTTTTCCCATTCTGTATGTGATTTTATTCTTGGCCATATCAGAACATATATTACTTGGTACATCCATCTCACCAATAAATCCAGATCACTCTGTATGAGTGATTTGTCTTCTTCATAAATTACCTCAGTCTTTGTATCATCCTGATCCATGATGATTTTATATTTTTTTCCAGGTCACTGATAAAATATTAAGTAGCGTAGGGTCAAGAATTAATTTCCAATAAGGAAAAGGAAGAATCAGTAAGGATGCAACTAGCTCGACTTGCCAAAAAGCTAACATTAAATAGAAGTACCTATACATTTTCTTAAAACCATGTGTGATACGTCGCACAGTCCCATGGAGAAAACTGAGCATACATCCTAGTTCAACAAACGAACAGCAAATCACATAAACGAGAAGGTTGTGCATCTGAAGGCATGGAAACAAGCAGACAGTACAAAGGAGGAATATTTGAAAACATGTAATAAAATTGCTGCTGATTCACCTTAGCATTGAGGTCTGTCTGCATCAGTTTTGAGGTGATACCATGCATCCCTTTTCCACAAGATTCCCATACAGTGTATAGTCACTACTGTAAAAATAGAAGGTACCCTAACAAGGAAAAGGAAAATTCAGGTTTCTGCTCTAACTCCTCAACTAGAAAGTCAGGCTTCTCCTTGCTTGGTTTCCTAGATCCACTACATGTAAGCTGAAGCTCACTCTGTAAAGGTTCACACTTAAACTGCTTGATGTCTCAGCAGTTAAGTCATTCTCTGGAGAAGAAAAAGGTTTGAAGACACTAAGGACTGAACTGGACCAGTTCTGCCACTTAGTAGGCAAGAACACCAGGAAGGGGCAATGCTCCTTTGCAATATCCATTGCTCCCAACTGGCATCTCTCACTGGGTAAAAACCTGGCATTCTGCATCAAGTACAAGGAACCACACACTGGCACAATGATGATTATCTTCATTTTAGACCTGTGCTTTCACACACACACATGCACAAGCTTCCCTAAAAACCAGGCATCACCTCTGATGCCACTCCTTCACAAGGAAAATAATTTCAATTGGTTAAAAAAAAAAAGAAAATTTACTTAAAATAAACTGCTTTTGAAGAATAGCCACTTTTAATACTTTTTAAAGTCTTGTAAGAAATATAGTATAACTATTTAATACAGCAAAGATTAGTAATTAATTAGTTCACATCAGTTCAGTTTTAAGTTAACTGGTCCTGGAACACTGAATTCACAGTAAAAGATAAGAAAAAAGTAGATAGACTGGTTATGGTGACTTAAAGCAACACTGCCACATTTCTTAGTCCTTGGTTTTGTGGATTCTAGTACATGAGAAGACAATCAGTGGCTGAAGTTGGGATGGGGGGATGCATGTCAAATTAGTCTGTCACTAAGATACCATGCCGCAACCTATAGCTGACAAACACGCTACATAGACGCAACAAAACGCGAATGCTTTCACTGTGACTGGCACATCAAGACTGCTTGCTATGGGGTTCTGGAAAGCCAGCCTGGCATCGTCCTTCCCCAGCTCCATGGTCTTCTCCGGAGCCCTGCTGCCTCAATTCCAAGCAACTCAACCAGCACCAACACAGTTCCTTCCATCTCCACCCAAACCATGGTATCCCCATGAAGTAAAGTCAGATGGGCAGGATAATCCAGTCTTTAGGACAGTCCTTACTCTCCTCTCGTCTTTTTATACAGAGAGTATTTGCCACCATTTTGAAGACCTAATGGATGGGATTATGTGCAAAATCATGACCGTATCATGAATGAGGAAATATAATTCATTCAAGAACTGCTCCAGTCCTAAATAACCAGCTGCATTAACAAAGAAGTTTGCCTTCACATATTAGCTGATCAACTTATCAGAGGACTGTTGCATATTCTTTTCCACCAGTTAAATAAAGCTTACAAAATTATGTAAAGTTTCTCCCACTGTTAGTCGTCACACAAAAATATGACAAAACCTGTACACTTACATTCTTCCATTTGTTATCAACAGGCTGCAAAAGATTAGCAGGGGATGTTGTTAAAGGCTGGGTGACAGACTCCTACAAAGAAATGAAAATAAAGTATTTTAAGCCTTTGTATAAATAGAAGAAAAACATGGCTAATATCAAGCATAAAAGTAGCACTGTTCATTTTCCCACAGTATGGAGACTAGGGACAGAAAAAATGAGACTACAGGAGATAGAGCAGTACCTAGAATCACTGATGTTGCTTCACAGTTTATATACATTAGATAAACACAAGTTACAGAAAGCAATACCTTAGCTATAAGCACTGATGCAGCAAAGGGCAAATAACAACCTTAGAGTAAGCATATTTTACAAGATATGCTCATGTATCACACAAGAATGCATTCTTTGGTAGCACAGCACTTCAGACTTCAACTTGTGGAATTTGTTGTATTAAGGACACAACCACTGTTCACCCCCAGGTATATAACAAGCGACAACAGAGACTGATTGCAAACTTCAGAACAGAATTATTATACTGGAGATTTGTTGTTAAAAAAGCTCTGCAAGTTTTGAGCAAAATGAAAAAGTCAGTTCTAATATAAGAATGCTAGTGCTAATCTAAGAAGGTAACATCTTTCTATAGCAATAAAAATCAATTGATCATTAAATCTTTGCAGTTTCAGATATAAAATTAAAAATAAAAAGCTTAATACTCTTTTATTGTGTGACTGACATGTCAGTTATCTTTGCTTTTCCTTGTTAAACTTCTTGGCATCTGTTTTTGTAAAGAAATCTTTTTCTCCTATATTGCTTACACTATGGTATGGAGGTAGACTTTATTTTTCCCCTCTTTTACACAAGCAGAGAAGTACGCATGCAGCAAAGATAGTAACACCACACTTCTGTAATATCAATATGCAACGCAAATGCAAAATACTCAAGTAGGCCAAAACAATAAAAACACAGCTGGACAGGGACAGCAAACATGTGGTAGTATGATGGAATCCTTTTCCATTCTGCTTTTAAGATTAGGCTTACGAATGAAGAGATGTACAAAAAGACGTAGAGATTATATGTACTTGTAAGCAAATATGCTATACAAAAAAACCTTCATGAAATCTAAAAAAGAAAAATGGTTCTGCAAACACTACTTGACACTTGTTTTCAACAAGATACAGCTGCATAACGAAATTGAGACTTTAAAGTTTAATCCTCTTCTTCAAAGTCTGATATTACTTGTCATCCATTGACCTTTAAAGCATAAAAGTTGGAAATGATGTGAAACAGAGGGCAATAAAGGTAGAAAATGTAGTTCTATTCACAGAAAAAAACATACTATGATACATTAAATATGCACTGGCTCAAAAAATAAAACAGCCTTATGGAACCAGAAGCATTTTCTGAAATTTAGCTTCTTGTATCTTGGTTAAAAAAAACCACCCCAACATTCAGTGCTTCCAGTAATGCTTTTTCCTTTATAATTCGTCAAATAAGCAGCTAACATTTAAAATAAATTATCAGAAATACTCAGAAAAAGAATCCACTATGTCTTCATATGGAATAGAATTATATAAACAATTTCTGAAAGTTAGTTAAAACTAATACATAATTTGAGTAGTTCCAGATTTCATTGTTTCAGTAAAACTTCACAATTAATTTTATGCTATCTGGGTTTCCTCCCCAGATAAACTCTTAAAGGCATTTTCACAATAAACCAAGCAAAGCTTACCGCTGTAACATGAGATACATCTGCTGAAGAGCTTGCAGAATTCTGTGGACCACCCATGTGCATCTTGCTGATATGTGTATTTAAACTACCCAAGCTTTTGAAGACACAGCTACATTCTGTACAGTTGTATGTAGGGCCATTCTTCACCTTCAGTAAAACAAAAAAAATTAAGTAAATTTTCCCTAAATCTACCAAATTTTATATTTTTCATTATTTATCCACAGAACAAATATACTATGGGGTTATGAGAGCTAAAATGGTTTATTTTTCCAGGTTACTGATATTCAGTTATGGAAGCAGTCTAGTATCTCTTGGATATCAAGTCAACTGTAATCTACCTGCATGACTGTCCTCTCTATTACCACTTCTTAACACTGAGAAGCACCAGAGAGCAAAACAAATGTCATCTGACAAATGAGGCTTCAGACTTTTCCCTCCTTACAACTTCCTACCGTTACACACTTAGAAACAAAACCAAAATGCAACTTCATCAACTAAGATGTGCCTGAAGATGTAACATCATACATAATACAAATGGTAGTCTGTAAATATGAAGAGAAAAAAATGCAGATAATTCATCTTCAGATTTTGGCTCTCTTCTCTTTACTTTTGCAAAAGTATTTTTTAAAAATTTCTAAGAAAAAAGAAAATCCATTTTTTTTGGTCAAAATAGAATGAGGGAGAGATAGATTGGCCCAAAGGCCATATGAACTGCATGAAAAAACAAAAAAGAAACACAAGCACTCCACCAAAAAAACAACATAGTGAAAGGCAGGGAAGTTTAATGTATAGTTTGAAAATTTGAACACACAGGATGAGGAAGTGATCAGCAGCAACTTGTTTGGGACTTTCAGGCCAAGGGGTTGAGGTAATTAAAGCAGCTAAACTTGCAGATTCCAACCATCCCCACTTCTCCCTCTTCCTCAATCTATCACATAGCAGTAAGAACCAGTGCAGTACTTTGAATATTTAGGGGACAGCAAAGTTTTCAAATGAAAACACACTACTTGCAATACAGTATGAAATTTTGTATTTTCTGACATAAGTTTAAACTGGTAACAAGACTTCAGGAAAGAGGTATCAACTAATAAAATACAGGTAGGACTAGACAACGATATGTGAAGTAAGAATCAACCTGTTTCATTATCACCTGTAACATTTTATGACTGTGTCAAGATAAAAATGAAGAATTAATAGAGTTCTGCATGCAACCTTAAAAGAAAAACAGCGACAGCAAGCAAGAAAGGAAAGAATCCAACAAGTGATCCAAAGCAACAACTAAAATGTAGGCTCAGGATCATGAAACACAGCATAAGCTGTGATCAAGAGACAGCATTTATTTGACACAACCTATCCCACAACTGACTTTTTTTATTTTTTCTTAGAGAAAACCAGACTAACACAAAAAAAGAGTGAAAAATATTTTTGGCTCAAACCCCAACAATCCTGTAATACTGAAAAAAAACCAATGTAAATTATGAAATTAACGTTGGTACTTTTTTTTTATGCAGCAGAAGCTATTGCACATAGGGAGCTGTGATCAATAAGGAAGACTAGTCACACAAAATTATATGAAATGTAAACTTATGATTTAATATAATTAAATGTAACACTAAACACTAAGACATATTCAATGAAGTAAGTAAAAGTAAGAAACTCTAACGCATTAAACGGATCCTTAGTAAAAAAAAAAAATCCAATAAATAAGATCTATTGTTGTAACACAAAAACAGAAAACAAGAAAGCAAATCTCAGCAGAGTTAGGGGAAAGAGCGAGAGCAGAGATGATATTCTGCATGCAGGTAAAAAAAAGGGAAGAAAAAAAAAGCTGCCTCTCATTTTATACCTTCCAAATCAAAACTAGGTCTCTTTCTGGGGGTATTTCCAACCACAAACCACTAAGTCAGCAAGGAAATTACTGGACAAAGTTGCATAGCCAATGTTGCTCAGAAGATTATATTACATTACCATAGCAGCATCTTCTGCATCTTAAAAATTGTCTGTCACAAAGAAGAAAAAATCAGCATAAAGAGGTCTGAGACAACCATGTTTTTTATCTTATTTTGTAATTTTCTTCTACTTGTAATTGAAAAACCTCTGAAAAAGGCTGCAAGATATATACTTCAAAGACAAATTGCAAGTATGCTCTATGATGGAGTTAGTGGGTTGCTGTTTGGCCTTGAATTTTTTCACCATTTTCTGCTTTGCTGCTTTTGGCTTACTTTCATCTGATTCTAGCCCTCGTTCTCCCAAGACTGACACAGGTACATACTTACACATCTAAACCCACTAATAATTTATTAATCTATCAACGTACCAAAAAGACAATGGTAAATGAAGGTTTTGCTACTTATCCTAAGTATACATTTATACAGATTAAGCTATTTTAAGAAAGCTTGCAGGTAAAACCAACAAACTAGAATCTATACTAGAGCAGTAAATCTATATTGGCTGCAAAAAGCATCGGAGAGAGCACAGGAACAGCGAACAGGATAATTTAAATACTGAAAAAGAAATAAGCAGTATATTAGCACCAACCACTTTATGAATAATTGTATTTACCTCTGAATGAACTCTCTGTATGTGTGACTGAAGATTGCCTTTCTGAGAAAAGGCTGCAGGACAAAAGGCACAAGCATGGGGTTTTTCACCAGTGTGCTTGATCATATGGGTCTGCAATGCCCCCTTCTGGTTAAAGGCTTTTCCACATTCACTGCATTTAAAAGGTCTTTCACCTGAAAGGGGGGGGGGAAAAAAAAAAAAAAAAAGAAGAATGTGAGGTAAAGGGCTTTATATAAACGTTAGTAGTTTCCTGTATCTAAATGAAAAATTCAGTTAAAATAAAATACTGCATATAGATACCAGTACATACACATAAACACAGAAACATACGTTACCAGGTGTTTTGACAACACAATTGTTTACCTCGATTACCAATTTCAGCATCTACCCTGATCAAGATGTAGCTTTGTGAAAAAGTTTCATGACCCAGCTGATGATGATCAGTTGAAATGCGTAAAACAAATGAAACTTGTACGAAACAATTATTTAGAACAGCTTCCCTCAACTTGTTGTTTGGAAGATCTCAGAAGTTGCCATGCAAAACCACTGGAGGAAAAGAAATAGGGGAAGAGAAAAACCAAAACCACGTATGCCATTCTTTTACACCAAATCCTGTAAAATGCATGTACCTGCACAGAAACAAACGGGTAAGCAGAGGGTGGAAAGGACAGTAACAAATAACTAAAAGTCAAAAATTTAACCTTTTATTTAGTCTAAAATCAAAAAGTCTTACAGAATTTTGCAAAAGGTGGCTTATGGTTCCTGCTCCCCAATAAATATTAATAGTCATTCATTCTTTACAACCACCTACTGAAAAAGTGCAATAAAATAATGTTTTTATTACATGAGATATTGTACAGCTCTGCCTAAAAAATAATTGTAAAACCTGGAGTGTTCATATTACTACTGAACATTAAAGAAAGTCTAGGCAATATCGTTACAGGAATGCTCTGTCACCATTGCCTGATTTTAGTTTTCTCAGTGCTGTGCATACATATAATTATTTGTACATTAACAGATTAACCATGAAAAACTCCCCCGAAATTGTGACAAAATATAATAGAACCACATTAACATATTACAAAGCTACATATTTTAAACACACAGATACTAAAAACAAAGTTCAGTTTCTTAGGACTACATGTCTTAATTGACTGCTGGAATTCACTGTGAATTCAGTATTTTTTTTATTTTTTTTTTAGTGAAACAGTTTAGCTGTGGTAACTCCAGGACCTTTAGAAACTTTCAACACTTTCCATTTGCACATTTCTATAGCTAAAACACTATGAATATGCTGTATATTATGTTTGCTACACCAGTAAGTACTAGCATGTGCTAAATATTATGCATGCTAAAGCAGTTTTAATGAATATTTTTATATGAATTCTAATTATATAGCTGTAATTACAACTAGTTTAAAATAATTCTCAAATTCACACTGTTTGAAATAAAAGCAGCTATTTTCTGAAATAGATTACAAGCATATAACTCATGGTGTCAACTCTGAAGGAATGTTTATTTTCTGTTCTGCTGCTTACAGCTTTTAAAGACGCTTTAAGGTCTGGGGGTTTTAACTATATTTTTTAATACAGATTAAAATACAGAACACTGATTCAGATCTTGAAATACATACACAAAATTCATATTGGGCTTTCATGGGTAAAATGCTTATCTTAGCTTCTATTAATAGGTGTTGGTGGACACATAGAAGTGTTGCTTCAGGTTAACTTTGCCTATTTAAGTAAATTTCATTACTAAATCTTAATTCTAGTGTGGAAATGTGGAATTCCTGTATTTCTCAAGTATAACTTAATAAAATATAGATTTGGGAGGGGAAATGGGGGGTTCATTACTTAGTTATTAATATGGGAACTGCAATCCCTGAGACTTAATTTTTTTTTTTCCCCTAAAGGGTCTAAGTGCTTAAAATTAATAGCTACGAACAAAAAAGTATTGCAATTAAGACACTAATGTAATGCTGTACATGTAGCACAGACGTGTTCTTTTAACAATTAAAGACTTAAGTATTCTAAATTCTTTAAAGCAGTGTTCGTAGTTCTTCTTTCCTACATATTTTACAGTACCTCAAGCAATTGGATGCCAGACAGATTGTCTGCAGATTTAAAGCAGTAACATACTTCAAAAATTAAATGAGCATTCACCAGCCGCTTGGAACTTAAAATGACCTACCATCATGTGCAGATTGGGACTACATTTTCTTTTCTGGTTTCCCAACAGACAAATGTCTTTTTAATCTTCAAAGAACTACAAAAGCTCTTGAACTTTTTGAAGCTTTACAAAAGTGTCCTCAACCAACTACAATCTTGTTTCTTTAATTCTGACTAGAATAAGCTGAAATAATGTATCAAATAGATACAAAACTCAAAACTAAGAAAGTTAATTTTCAATGCATTTTTTTGGAAATTACTTTGAGGCAACTTTTAAAGCAGGTACAAGGGTGACCTCTTGTGTTACTGCTCTACAATTAAATTATAAAGCTTAAAAAGACTCCTAAGAAGGAGTCATGCAACAGAACTTTTACTTCTCCCTTGGCAAAGTCATTCTTGCACATAGCAACTTGTCACATCACCCTCTGAACAGACTGCTAATACAAACAATATCGCACACTTACCTAATTTCTAATTTAATTAGCTAAAAGCTAGACAGAGCAATTTATTCACAAGATGGGAAATACATATATATTGCACGTCACTGGAACACTTTCAGTGAAGGCTTTCTTTAAAGCCAAACTTATGCTGTATTATGTATATCTGGCTAAAACTTGAGAACTATTCTTACAGTCCTCTGTACACTTCAGAAACTTTTGTATTATTTTGTACTTCACATTTTTTAGTTATTTCAATTGCTTAAGGGTTAAACAAATGCACATATTTATTACAGTAATTTTGCAAAAAACATCCACTATTCATTCTGCAAAACTTCACAACCACTTGCTCTTCTTCAAGTATCAAAATTACGATCTAGGTTTATCACCTCGCAAGTTCACTTTGGTCATCCTGAAAATGGCAGTTACAGTAATTACAGAAAATATATGGCAGTAACTTTAAATAAATCAATCTAAAAACAAAAGCAAGGCCACTATGTTAGTAGTGTTACTCATTCTCATGTATTTCTACTCTTTTTGTGATTGTAAATTTTGCAACTTGTTCTCTAGAGTATATGTAATCCCATTTAGAATACCTGACTGGCCCTTATCTAGGTATTCCAATTTTAGGGCCCATTGAAACTTTACATACCAAAACTAGTATTCTGTAACAAATGAAACCTGTAAAGCATTAAAATTTCCAGATGTGTATCATCTGAAACAGTTAAAAAGATTTTCAGAAGCATATAAATTTCCTAAGCAAAGAATTACATAAAGGGTGTTTTAAACCCAACAGGTAACAGCATCTAATGAGCCAGATGTATTAATACTGTTTCAAGTCCCAACTGGTAGAAAAATATTTAGCATTTCACAGATTAATTGAATTCTGTAAAACAAATGCAAACTAAAATAATTACTTCCACAGTCTTACCTGTGTGTATCCTAACATGTCGTGTTAACTGACTTGGCTTCTGAAACGTCTTTCCACAGTGAGGACAGGAATAGGTAAACCCACTTCTGTCAATATTTCTGTTATAAGACCTGGTATTTGATACCCTGTCATTTAAAAAAAGAAAAAAAGGGGAATTTAAATAAAACCCTTTTCATCCTCATAGTAAACATTATTTTGAAGAACCTGATTTTACCCCATCATTTTTTAACATACAGTGTAAATTTGATGACAACGTATAGTATTAGCTGTGACAGTTTAAAAACAAAAGCTTTAATGATACAAAAGAAAAATGTAAATGGAGCATTTTTCTAAGTGCCTACAAACAACAAGAATTCTAGTTATTTCTGTAATAAAATTGATACTACTTAGAGGCTCTCTAGAGACATTTGCACTGTAAATTCTGCTAGAAGTACACTGTGACTTCAACTACTGTTTTGGTGGGAACTTTCAACTCTGTGCAACTTTATTTCTTTTGCCTGAACACAGCAAGACTTTTGTTCTTAACTAGAATAGGAAGATCTCATAAACTAGAGCTCAAATGCAGCTGGTCAGGTTGAATAAAAACAGGTTAAGAATTTAACAACCCAAATATTCACCACTGCTTCTCAATACAAACCACAACCTCCACAGAGACACGGTAACAGATGATATGAACTCCCATAATTCATTTCTCTACAAATAAAACTGATTAGTTTAAACAACTGCTGAAAAACAGCAATGTGGGAAAAACAACAACTGATTTTTATGCTGGGAAAAGAAAAACTAAAACCTAGGAGATACTAAAAGACTGTTACAACAACTCGGCTAAAGAAGGTGAGACCAGAAGGCAGTAGTACCTACAGCACTCCACGTTTTCCATACTGCCTGAATATTTACACCTATACAGTAACCCACCTTGTCAGTACTGCTTAAAGCTAACTGAACTTACACAAATTCAAATACCTGGTAGTTTTCCGAACATCTGAGAAAGAAGAATTAGCTAAATGTGGAGCAGATGTGCAAAATACAATACCATCTTGAAACACAGGCTAGTATAACAAGATAAAAAACAGCAGGGGAGTGACAGTCGGTGCGTAACACAGGAAATCATTAAACTTCTGCTCAAATGATGCATCTTTCTACTCTAAGAGAACACAGTTATTCAGAGTATATTTAAAGGAAAGCACGTTTTTCCTTCTAAGTGCTTCAAATAAACATTGCATGCATTTTTAAACTCTTTTTATACTCTTGCAGAGCGAGCACAGTGTCTGGGTAATATATTTTACTTTTACATATTAATTACATCTATCAAAATTTACTAAGTATGCAGAGTAAAATCAATTGAAGATTGAAGAATAGGAGAGAGACCAACAGAGACGTCAGAACCTCTTCTTTCCATCTCAGGACAGATCTAGACCAGCCTGATTGTCAGAATATGCTTTCTGGTGAACACCACCTGTTTCAACTATAGCTGTGGCATTTTAGTAAAGAAAATAATACCGAATTTGGAGACAACTGCAGAGACAATCCTTCAAGATCAGATCACATTCTAAAATATTCCCTCATTTAGAGTTATAACCATCTTCTTTTCAGCAAAAGGTAGATATTAAATTTAAATTATAACTTCGTAATAGTTTTCCATTCGAATGCTTCAAGCACAAAATAAACACCCTTTTGGGAAGGAAAGTGCAATCACTTTACGAAGAAAACTGAAGGAAACAAGGCTCTTCATAATTTCAAATCCTAAAAAAATTCTGAAGGTTATTTTACAATGAAAAGCGGGAATCAAATAGTAAGATTTTTAACTACTGATGTATGTCTTTGAACTTTATATACAGCCAAGCAGGTTAGGTCAAATGTTAACTTTTCATAATTCATCTGAACAATAGAAGAAGATCGTGTCAATAAATAAATAAATAAATAAATCAGAATGTCCACATTTTTACTTTCAAAATCATTTCTACTGAAACGCAGAAGGTGGAGCAGGATCACTTATGCAATTCATTAACCTGGCTCACGTACATGGGTTGTATTGGTACTGCTGGTGAAAGCACAGTAAAGCACTGTTATGGACAGTAGCTTCTTAAACAAATGCAACATGTTTCTACATCTGAACTGATAAATAAGGTGAATCTCATATAAGAAAGCTCTGAATCTAGAAATAATCCATGTTTATGAAAATAAACAAATTATCATGGAGTGCTTATATCTCATTTATATCAGAATGTCGCATGGATAATACTCTCACAAAATCTCAGCCATCATATTAGATTCAGTCATCCATTCTTTATTTATTCATCCTCACTTACCCAGGAGATGTCCACAACAGGAACGTTTTTTGTGTGTAATATTATATAACTCAATAGAAACGTTAACAACTTTACCTCAATTTTCAGTTTGCAAATGCAAATCTACAACAATTTTAAACCTTCTGGAACTATTAAGATCTCACAACCTGCATAATCTGGTAATAAAAGTAATTGGGAATACCTTATGTTTCTCATTTTTAAATGTGTATTTTTCCATCTGTTTTTATAGAAACAGAGCAAAGATTAAAAGACAGATCACTTGTCAAAAACCTTAGGCTTTCTTAATGTATAAACTGAACCAACACGAGTAAGATTTTCCTTCTTCTCACTTACAGTAATTTTCACCTTCCTAAAAGTGAAGTTAAACTAGAGAGCTGAAAGAAAGGACAGAACAAATTTTCACCGAAAGTAAGAACAACATTTATTAGGCCTGGTTTTTCCCTTTATTTTGTGCTTTTTCAGATTTACTAGAAATTCATAGTAGGTTGTGGTAAAGGACTACCTGCAAAAGACAATTAGACTGCAAGAAACAACTTATTTCTTTGCAGAAGGATCGTATGAGGATTTTTGCAATTACAATAACTGCTACATAAAATTAGTATACATTTTCTTCAATGTACTGCCATTAGCCTTTAAAATGACACATAAACACACTCCAAAAAGCACTCTGTATCAGAAACTTTGCCTGTGTTTACAAATAGCTAGAGATGGAACTACACTTAGTATGGGTGCCTAAATATGAAAACAGAAAAAAGAAAAAAAAAAAAAAAGCCTCCAAAATAAAGGCCTCCAAAAATAACCACCTACTTTAGCAAGGTTTTAAAAAACAATTGCCATTTCATAACAGCTTGGCAGAGAAAAGAAATTATCTGCATAGATCATGGTACTTTGCTGACTGGAAGTGCTACTCTTGCTTCCCCCAGCTATCACCATATAAGTAACATCTGCTCATTTTGTTACAATCCCGTGATCGTCACCTTATTTTATAGTGTGTTTTCATATGCTCCTTTAGCTGTGAGGAAGTTTCAAATTCCTTTTTGCAAGACTTGCAGCTGTGGGTCCTACTGCCTGCCAATTCTTGACGATGTTCTTCCATGTGTATGGACAGCTGACTCTGTAAAGTAAATTCATCTCCACACTCTGAACAGATAAGATTCTGAAAGAGATAACAGAGACTGATTTTTTCAAAAGATTCCCAAACAGCAGTACACTTGCATAAGCTTTGCTCAAGTAGATGAATGTATCCTTCTATGGACATTGGCAGCTGGAAGCAAGCAGCAATAAAAGTATACAAGCGAAAAAAAAGGTTATGAGCCCCATAATATAAATCATGAACAATAATCACTGCAAGCTTAAGGTAATATTTATATGTTAAGAAACTTGACTGAAACTGACTTCTGAAAAAGTTCATATGGTAGCAGGAACAAGCAGCTCAGTACCATCCTCCCCATCACTCCCTATTTCCTTGGTAGGCTAGTTCAAGATAGACACAGAAACTTACCTCAGTGCCATTACACTATGCTCTACATAGACATTTGTAAAAAATACTACTTTCTAACCAGAAACACCTTAACTGTACCTTCAGAGATTTTATACTTTTACTAGTTAAAATTATACAGATTGTAACTTTTTAACACTAATCCCAGCACAGTTACAACTGATTTTTCTTAAGCTATCTTCACAGATCAGACAACAGAAATAAATAGGGACACATAATGTTTTTGACAGATATCACTTCAACCCATTTATTTTACAGCAGTGTTAAACATAGCACTTTCCAGTTACATTAGTATTCCACGTCATTTAGAATGGAAATCATACTACTTGTAATGTTTAATGTAAAAGCACTGCCATTTCTCTGAAATTCAGAGGAAGAATCAAAGTCAAATATTGTTTCAATGAAAACAAAATGCTCTGCATTTATTTGAGTTCCTTTTGCTTTTCAAAATCATTAATTTAATTTCTCAGTCTATCTTTATTTTACAAAATCTAAGCAGAGAGTTAAGATTAAATTTCTAAAAATATTCACCATCTCTTTGGCAAGACATCTGTTACATGTTCCTTACTGGTGTGCATAAGTAAATTCAGAGTTTTTGTCTCAGTTCAGTTTTCAGTAATTGTAATTATCACTGCAAATGGAAATGTTTTTTATTCTCCTCCCCTTTTTTTTTTCCTCCTTGAATGAACAACAAGGGAGGACAAAACCCCAGTGTTAATTTAAATAAAGGTAGTGACAAGAATGTTTTAATCAAGAGGAACAAAGATATGCAGTGCTATTTTTAAAATGCTTTGACAATAAACTTGTTCCCTAAGTCTGAAAAAACAAGAATTTCACAATATCACCAAACAACGTTTCCACACTATGATAGCTTAAGAAAAACTTAAAAATCTGAAGTTCTTTAATGAAATTAAACACAACCTCAAAAAATGACTTGTTTAATCTAACCTAGAGATCGTTACCAGACTCAAGCTATAGTGTGAGACAATAAATAAGAAACATTACTTTATTTTCCAGTATCTACATTTAAATCTGAATAAGCATACTTCTTATTGAAAATTACTGTTCTATACAACAAATCTGATTTATGATAATCCTTTTGTACAAGTGGGGAAAAATTACCTGAAGAGAAGCTTACAATGCATACTCTATCAAGCTAATGGTCCCCAAAATGGAGTTTGTCAATCACTTCTCAGCATTTTTCAGCCACACATTATCTATGACACTATTTTGCTATTACACGTTATTCTATTAAGCAACTTGCACAAACAAAAGAATAGCCTAAGAAGTATTTGAGACAATGAAAGTCTATATATTTTTATTCACTACTGTAGAATTTGCTGTAGGAAAGCAAGGACATGTTAATATAGAAAAACTGTACAAAAAATCAGTAATATATCAAGCCCAACAGCCTCTCTCTGGAAAAGGCAGTATCAGCTTTATTTTTTTTGCCCCTCAAGCAAACAAAAAATCCCCTACCACACACAGAACAAGTAATTGTACATTCTTAACCTTACCATGGTTAAACCCACCTTCTAACATTAAACAAAAGGGGCTGTTCATACATTGACAGATAATACTTAAAATTCCCAAATTTAGTTTTGTAAAGCTTTACACATCTAATTCCACCTGAATTAACTATCTTTATCTTATCAGATGCAGTATCTCAAGGAACACTTTGGAACTCACCATCGTCATCTGTTTAGTATCAATGACTAAAAGAAGATTTTAATTTGCACTTTTTCAAAGACCATTGCTCCAGAATTATAAGACAGGACAAATCAAATACTGTGAACATTATTCACAAAAAAAATACAAACACACAAAACCCCCACACCCAGGATTTTTTAATAGCAGAATTTTCACTTTATATCCACCAAACATCAGTTTTAATTTTTTCAACATATTAAGATTTTCCTAAAGCCCAAGAAAACCTCATGCTCTCATGGAGAAAGAAGACATAGTAGCAGTTTTAGTGCAATAAATTAAAAATTTTCAGTTTATATTTAACATTCATCAGGTCAAAAAGTAGCAGTGGATACCACTGACCATTTCCACAGAGGAAATGGACAAACCCAAGAATCCTCTACAAGGTTGGGCATATTTACACAAGGTATGTTTTTTATGATTTCTTAAAGAAAGCTACCCGAACCTCAGGAATTTCAAACGTGGGTTTGGTTGCGGGTTTTTTTTTTCATTACACTAGTTTAATCACACACAAATCACCAAAGAATGTGAGGAGAAAAGTTAGTCTCCTGCAAGCTTAATTTCAATAGCCCAGAAAATTCCTTCTGGAACCTCTCACAGGAGCAATCAATCACGAAAATCTGCATTTCAACACAGACAGATGCTCTCCCAAACCTAACTGGAGAGCTCAAGAAGCTAATCACACTAGTTTCTTGTTATTGCCCTTCTGCACTCACCTGTAGATAAAGCTGGCTGATGCAGCACAAAACAAGGCTAAAGTTATCCAAAGCTCAGCTTTGTGCAGCAATTTCAACTGCTACACAGGTTCCCTAAGCGAGTATGGATCTGTTGCTCTGTTTTCAGATTTTCAACCCTTCTAACAGCAAAGTAAGAATAGCAAACAGGAGGGAGATTGTACTCCACTGATAACTTCTTATCCTGCACATTACGAAAAACTCCTGAATGACAGCTAGTGCCATCATCAAGACCTTCTACTTCAAGTTCAAATTCCAGCTCTCCTACAGGCCCTGTGCATAACTACTGGGAAAGTCATTCATGCAATTCTATGTGAATTGTTACGTTCATCTCTGTTTTATCACAGTATTATAGGGCATTATAAGAATACATTAATTAGCAATTGAAAGGTGTTCATATTTTTATAAATTTAATTTTCAAGCTGCAGACTGAATTTTAAATTGGAAGGAATCACACAACCTATTCTTCTGACATCTGTACCAAGCATCGAAATCAGAGCTGCTGAAGTGGATGAAAAATCCCTTAGTGATAGACATGAATACTAAAAATTACTCTTAGGCTTCTTTCTTGATGCTCAGTTTCCTCAATAAATACCCATTAAGCTATGTACCATTATAGATACATTAACATGCAACAAAATTATACTCAAATCCTCTCATTTTAACTCGGTTGTGTACATGATAAAATGTGAACTGATAACAAGATTAAAGAAGGAATACATTCTCTACAGATGGCATTCCCTGCCTAAAATCCCAAACCTACTGGTCAAAACTGCTATAAAGTGGTCTGCAGTTGGTATGGAGAAACATACAATTGTTATGTTTATTATTAGAAGTCTGGCAATAAAAATGCATACTTGACTCAGCTCCAATTCTCCAAAGCAAAGTGCAATTTTAAAAAAGCCTTCACAAGAGGAAGAGGTTACATGATTGAAAACTTGGTATTTTGGGCAGTACGATCAACTTTGGCAACTGCAGTAACACAGTAATGACTATAAGGTGTGCAAAACACTACTATGCATTAACTGTTTGCTAAGAATTTAACCAATGCCTTATAAAAACAAAAAATTAAATTATGAGAGAGAAAGGAACAAGAAGTCCTCCCAAGCAAAATAACCACCCAAAAAAAATGGGGTGGGAGTCCTAGATAAGGGAACCGCTTCACGATGCAAGAAATAAATGGTGAGAGTGCGTCACCATGATCATCAAAAATGATCACCCAAACTATTACATGTGGGCTTATCAACGTACATGAAACCACAGATATTGCTTCAGAAGAAAAGAATTTGTAAACAAAAAACTAATCAGTTAATAAAGACAGGAGGGGAATACTTGCTTACATCCAATGTATTAATTTCTATTATTATTAAAACAGACTCCCCATTAAAAGTTTTATATTTCTTCTGAATGACACCACTTATTCAATCCTCCAATCTAAAGTGTATAGGTAAGGGATTAAGTACAACCCTTATGACATTTCTTTTCAAAATTTAAATTGTGAAGTTTAATGAATTACCTCTTCTTTCTCATGTAGCATTATATGAGCTTTCAGACTGGCTACTCTGGAGAATTTCTTGTTGCACACAGGACATGTAGGATCTTCACCATTGTGAGTACATTTATGAAGTGTCAAGTTGAATTCAACATTAAATGACATCGGACACTGGTCACATCGGTGAGGCTGTTTGTTAAAAATCACAAAGACAAAATTCAATCTTCCCATAAGTTACATATACCCTAGGTGACACATATACTCATACAAATCAAAATGTTTAAAATAAACAAACAGCAATTCAAGTACCTACATATGGTAATGATCCTTACTAATACCAGTCTTAATTATTTCCTCCTCTTTGCATCTCACTACTGAAAATGCAAACACAGCATTTCAAGAACATATGGGGAAAGAGGGCAGGGGAACTAAAGAAAGCAGAGACTCAAAACTGAGACTGTCTGAGGAGAATGAAGTCAGCATGAGAGAAGAATGAGCAAGAGCCAAAATAAATTTTCTTACTTTAACTGAGATCGTGAACTCTCCTTAAAGCAAAATTAATAATTGAATCAGCAAAGAGCTTTGTTTATGCCAGGATTGACTGCTCTTGGTATCTGCACAATCAGTTTTCATTCTTTAAGAGCACCTTTACTTTACACAGGTGTGCAACAGCATGGTTTTAACAATATCAATGTCCTTCAACTTTACAATGTTGAAACTTCTGTAAGTAGTTCTTTGCATACCTGAATTATCATCTCAAAGTCCTACATTTTGTAAAATCAACCTGTATCTACAGCTAGTTCAAACAGTAATAAAATTATTTTTCCCTCGCATGTAAAGTAGTTTTAGCCTTATGAAAGAAAAAGCAAGGAACAGAAATTAAATGCTTCAGATTACAGATGAAACCTGTGGCAAAAGCTTCATTTAAGAAGTCAGTCCAGTCTTAATCACGTATCTGTATTTTTCTCATTCTTTCCCAAATTTGATTTGTAAGCAGCTGAAGTGATGACATTAATCTACTGACTAATACATATATACTAGATTAGGTTGCTTGACATTATTGAAAACAGCTATGAGAGACTAGCAGGGTCCAGTTTATCAATATAAGCTTTATTTTCTTTTTATCGCTAATGCGTAGAATCAGTTTGCAAATTCAATTAAAAGAAACCCATACACTTTCTCATCTACCTGAATATTTTACAAATCAAAGAAAATGGCTAAAATTACAAATTACTGAACTGGAAACAACAATCTAACTAAATGGCATCAAAGCAAGGTCCTGTCTCAAAGGAAACATGAGGAAACATGAAAGAGAAACTTCATAAAACTCTGAAGTCCCCAAGTAGTAATTATAAGTGATCTAATTAAAAAAAACCTAAAAATTATTTCTTCTGTTAGCTTTACTTGTCAATATATGAAAATATCAATATACACTGGTATTTTTTAAGTTTATATCTACTAAAGTTCATACCTTGTCATTTTGCTCATGATCCCTCATATGGCGCTGGAACTGGGTCTCCTTTGGAAAAGACAGCAAACAGATCTCACACTTATGGAAGTTAGGTACTTGGTAGGGAAAATTACTGTTCTCTGTGTTCGGTGTCAGAACATCATCTACAAAACAAGCATTGAAACATTTGTATTAAGTCACATTTCATTTACTTATAATATATTGTAAAAATCAGAATTCTTTGAAGCAGAAACTATTCAAACTCCTGCAAGATTTTGACTTATACAGGATTCTAACTCCACTGGATCTTAAAAATCTTGGGCATAAACATTACTGTTTCCATTGAATACACACGATCAAAGGAATATACCCATCCCTCTGGGCCAGTTGCTAAGGAGATAAATAGTCACCTTTTCCTAGCAATGTGAAATGAATTCTTTCTGTGCTTCATAAACACCTATCAAGTTTGCAACAAAATAAAATGCTGCCAAATGCACTAGGGATGAGTAAGATGCTGTCAGGAGTTACTTTTAATAATATTACATGACGTGTTTCTAAAAAAAACCTTTTTAATATGACATACTCAGCAGTTCTGACTACAGAGGTTTTCTGCCCTCCCCTGCTCCTTTCTTTTTTTTTTTCTTCTTTAAGAAAAAATTAGGCAACTTTTCTTTCTTCTACTTCTGGCAATGCAAAACCTTTATTGGTTACCTTTCCAGTTGTAAAGCCAAAACCAGTATTTCAAATAGCTGAGAGGGGCAATAAACTGCAAGTCAAACTGTGTACACATGCATTCAATGGAGAAAAAGATTATTTTTCCGAGAGACCTCGTCTAAGCCCATACAGTTTTCTTGTTTTTAACTCCCACAGTCACACAACTTCTCATATACAAGTTGCAAGCTTCTATATCCTCTTGCTCAACTGGCTAAAGTCAGTCCTATTAATATTTTCCTTATTATCTTAAATATTTATCCAAGTAAATGAAACATATTTTACATTTGAGAAGATACTGCATTACCAAGGAAGTTATCCTTATTTTAAAAAAACTTTAAGAAAAGCAATTGACATGAGGGGTTAAAATATGTAAGATCATTCACAGCACTATTATTAAAACAAAAAATAAAAACCAATTGACTTGTGCTGTAGATTGATACTAAAGAGAAAAAAACCCATACAATTCAGTTTCAAACACTGCCACAACTCAACAAAGTGCATCAAAACCAGAATGCAACAGGATACAAAAAAAATGGAACATTGATATTATTATCTAGACACACAAGGCTTGATGCTACCCTTTAACAAAGCCAGTACTTCTCACCATGTATGTAAGAATTAAACATAGAAGTAACAACACAACTAGAAGCTTACAGCATCCTGTTTACATTTCCTCACAGGAAACGAAAGATTAGGATTCATATACTATTTCTGCTCAATACTGCACCTACTTCAAAGTCCTATCTCTTTCAATACACCATTTACAAGGAAAAAAAAAATCAGTACCTTACATGCTGACCAGATTTTTTCATGCTAAAATTCTCATAAACAAACTCAAAAAGCTTGTAGTTGAGGAAGCTCTAGGAAACATTTCAGCACAAGATATTTCAGGCAAGAAATCAAAACTAAAAACAACGTCCTGGGGACTTATATTTCCAATTTCTGGACTAAGCTGGCCAATTAGAATCATAGAACCATAGAATGGTTTGGGTTGGAAGCGATCTCAAAGATCATCTAGTTCCAACCCCCCTGCTGC